AGATAATATATATATATATACACATGCGATATATGCGTACAATGTACACACACACACACCCTAGCAGCAAAAGCTGCGGACTCGTGGGGAACCTCGAGCCATCCGATTGCCTCGCCACCACCACCGCCCACGCCGTCGAAGGCCTGCAATACACAGTGGCAGGAGCAGTAGTAGTAGTAGTAGTAGTAGTAGTAGCAGTAGTAGTAGTAGTAGTAGTAGTAGTTGTTGTTGTTGTTGTTGTTGCTGCCAGATAGAACGGAACCGACTCAGCAATCTGGACTCCGCGGAGGACCAAGCCTCTGAGGATTGCAAAGCCCTGAGAGCGACTTCTAGCTCGCATCCATACATGGCCACCAAAATTCTAACGACACCTTGAACACAAAGTAGAGTAGAGCATGGCATGGCATAGCGCAGCGTTGCACAGTATAAGCATACTACCGTCGAGTGGCGCTTCCCAGAACACAAAATCAGACGCTGCTTACTCGCAGTCGTGTCAGCAAAGCCCTTGCATTCCGTCTACGTGCCCTCGTGCAAGACCCTCGTTTGTGGTTTGGAAATGTGAGTCTGCACGTCCTCAATACGTGAGGCCTCTGACGATGACTATGCCACAGACAGAAGAACGTTAGACCTGAAAACGATTCGAAACCCAATATCCTGAACGGCAATCCACGCATGCAGAGGATTTCATGGTGAAGACCCAACCCTGCGCCCAAATCCAAAGCCTATGTCTAATTCCTAGTCGCTGAACGGTCTAGAGTCTAGCATCGATAACCCCCCCAAATCCTAGCAAATCCTGCACTCTCAACTCCAACTCCCAACCGCGCTTTCAGTGACTCCGGGTCGGCGAACTGCTCAAGGCGCGCTTTGGCCTTGTCCACGCGCCTGAAATGAGCTCATGGGGCTTTCAGGGGCTCAGGGTACTCCAAAAAACTTCGCCGAATCCCTGCTCCCCTCCCCCACTCGGACCAGACGTGGTCAAGTCTCTCTTGGATCTTCGGGGGCAGCGGCATGTCAGGTATCTCGTCTTCTTCCTCCTGGGCTGTGAACAGATTCTCACGACTTTTCTCATGACCATCTTACCGGGATTCTCACAACCGATTGGGGTCTGGAGTATGCTATGCAAAACCGTCGCAGTAGTAGTAGTAGTCGTCGTCGTCGTGGAGGCGGTGGTGGCGGTGGTGGTGCCGGCGGTGGTGGTGGTCGTCTTGGTGGTCGTGGTGGTGGTCGTACTCGTCGTCGTCGCTAGTAGTAGTAGTAGTAGTAGTAGTAGTAGTAGTAGTAGTAGTGGTAGTAGTGGTAGTAGTGGTAGTAGTGGTGGTAGTAGTAGTAGTAGTAGTAGTGGTAGTGGTAGAAGTAGTGGTTTTTGTGCTTTTTGTTACCCACTTGGCACGCCGTCGACAGCACGGCGGGGTCTTGTCTGGCAACTGGACTCAAAATATTGATCGAGCTTGTGAATCTTAATGAACCGAGTTAAGACAAGGCGCTCAATCAACTCTTTGAGGGGAAAATCAATATCTCGTCAGAAAAACTGCAACTAGACTCACTGCTATTTACCAAGTCGGTAGCACAGGGTTTGAGAGCCCTTTCGAGTTCACACAGTAAGAACCCAGAGAGTACAAAGAACCCTTATTTAACAGCTCACCAATATCTGATTCCGGAGCCGCATCTGCACATGTGCTGATTTGTTCAAGCGCAAAGACAAGGCAACAGCCCAAGGGTTACTCGTTTCGGAAAAAACCTTAATCAAGGCTCACCAACAGATACCAAAGCCCCAACGGGTAGGTGAGCGTCACATTTGTTCTGTGCTTTTGAGTTGAGGTAATAGTAGTAGAAGTTGTTGTTGTTGTTGTCGTCGTCGTACTGGTAGTAGTGGTACTGGTAGTAGTAG